AAATATGGAGGGGGGGGGGGACCTACTTGTGGAGCATGATGGATCTGCCATTTCTGTGTTTCACAAACACCCCAATGAAGGACACTCCAATAAAAATATCATTGGTGTAGTTGTCCTGAGGAAGAAAAATGAATAAAATAAAAACAAAACCTTCCCACAATCAAAGACACTGGCTACTTTGCAGAGGTGTGTGTATGTCTATATAGGAGGTTGGGGTGATATGCACTGCATTTCCTCTACCTTAGCAGCAAAACTTTCTTGGCCAAATCCGTCCAGTTTCTCCACCTCTTTGATGTACAGCAGCTCTGCTTCAGCAGTCTGCATCCGACTGGAAAGTACAGACAGACAGAGGTAAAAAGAGTGTCACTGTCTCTGAATTTCTCTCGCTCATTTTCACATATTCACACATGTAGAAAACTGTATAATGTGAGGTGACTGTACTAGTGACTCTTGTGCTCCTCAGCGACCTTCTGGGTCCACTCCTCCAGCACCTCATTGCCATTAGGCCAGCTCTAAGAGGAAAAAAGGTGAACAAAACTTTAGGGAGCAAATAAGAAAACAATCAACAGGTGATGGAGGGTTAATGACAGAAAGTGAACCGCTGAGTCTCAGTGAGAGAGAATGCTAAAAATCCTACGGAACACCTGGTCACTTCCTCAAACAGCTTTCCCAACTGTAATCAGTGGTGTACCAGTGAACATCACACTAATGGCAATGTAACAATGTAAAATCCTAGATCTGTATCACACATACAACTCATATTTGAACAGTGAAAGTTTGAGGACTTACCACAGGGAAGAGCGCGTACTCACTGAGGAAGTCCTGAGACCTGAACTGAGTGAAGTCTCCAAAATCAGCTAAAATAAAACAAACATTTATTTTATTTGTGATGTTTTATACAAAAACTGGGAGCCCCCATCTATCAATGTAACATTTGTAGTGTTTTATTTGTGTTTACTCATATTTTAAGACATTACAAACTGAAATTTGTAGGGTAATGAACAAAGTTCACAGTACAAATGATAAGAAGTGAATGTGTTTGTTTCTAGAACACCATGTCTTTGTTGGGCCTTATCTAAAAGCTTTTACCTACAAACTAGAACTCATGAGATAAAACCTTACTCATTCCTAAGGAAATCTGTGTGCCAAAGATGCCAATACAAGAAGCGACAGTACTTTAACATGACAGGATCATTTCAATTAACATCACTGTTCCTTGTAACTACTTTGTTGTGTACTTTATTGTTAAATACTGCAAAAATAAATGTCTGCAACACAGAAACAGTGTTCCTACATGTACATCATCTCCACAACATGCTCAGTCCTTCAGACAGGGGCTGTAAGTGCATCCTAAGTGCTGCTGTTTTTTAGAGAAAAGGAGGTGTAGCAGAGAATCCATGCTGCTCCATAGATAAGGGCCTTCCTAAGGCTAACCTTGGAGGTAGCGATAAGCTAACTGTCTGTTTACATTCCCCCTGAGACACAGACAGCATCCAGGACCAAGACCGAGGAGACGGAGTGAAGTTTTGTGTGTGTGTGTGTGTGTGTGTGTGTGTGTGTGTGTGTGTGTGTGTGTGTTAAGACTGATACCATAGGAACTCAAGTGGACTGTGCTCTCCCTGTGGTATGTAGCCATATTAGGTAGTGAAGTCAAGACGACCTGCGAAAGTGTGAGTTTGTGAACACTGTTTCTCTCTTGTGCCGTCTTCCTCTCCTCGATTACTCACGAGATGTTTGTTCGTGCTTGTGTCCTTGTGTGTTACCTTGTATTGCCAGGCCAGCCAGTCTGATCGCCTGCTCTACTGTGCAGTTGAGACGTCCATCTAGCACCTCCTTCTTCACCTGCAGGTAATACTGATACCTAGAAAGAAGGAACAAGAAAAGGAAGGCAGAGAGAAGAAATCAGTATTATTCAGATGAAATTTGGCACAGATATCCTTGTTCTCCTCTAGATGATTTATAGTAACTTTAGTAACCCCTTACCTTTTCTCTCACATCATCTTCAACTCAAAATAAAAATTTTCTCCAATAATCATATACCTAGACAACTTGTGAAATTCCCCTCTTCCCCAACTGTATTTTGTGTTTAATGCCAAATGTTAACATGAAAACAGGCTACACTACAATGATAAATATACCTGATAAACATCAGCGTGTTAGTAGGATAAAGATAGCATTTAGCTCAGAGCACTGCCGTGTTGTAGATTTGTGTTTAATGTTTTACATACCACAGCCTTTCTAACAGCTAAACTGTACAGAAAATCTGACTAAGTGGGTGGTAGCCCAGGCATTTGTACCATCTTCCAGAAACTCACCAGAATTTGGTTGGTGGTTAATGTTATTTTTCCAACTAGCCACACTGTCTCTGAACACCACTTATGCAAAAAAAAAAAATCAGATGGAAAACATGACGGGTCTCAGTTCAACACATTTCTCCAAAGAAAGTAAGACAAGCTGTGCTCAAAGCATTGCACATTAGTAACTAGAGGATTGCAAACATCTAATGAGACGCATCAAAGAGGCATATTCTTCTGCTTCTGGTCTGTTAAACAGAAAGTATGCGTCAAACCATTACTGGCAACTTTTAGCCGGTTAAAACAATGCCAGAAATCCTTTTGCAGAGCTAAGTGAGGAGTGAGTGAATCACCTTTATTTGAAATCCCAGTGACTCATTTTTGACTTGAGAGGTATGCCAAATATATACCAGTAGAAGCTAAACAAAGTGATTTTATATGCCTGTAAAACAGCAAGTATGTTAAATGGAGCTGACATGAACAAGATCTGAGATTATTCTTGGGTAGGACCAACACCAGCTGGACGGGGGTATTGTGATGTGATGCAAATGTGAGGCAAACTGGGACTCGGTGCACTGTGGTTTTGGGACCTTGCAGTTTTGCCAAGTGTAAGCCGATATCATGACGCTGCTCAGATTGTTGAGCTCACTTGCAGCCTTCACTAAATGTGGTAAACGTCCCAAAATCAAGAGGGTGAAATACACCGCACTCCTCAAGTTTCTGAGCTCCTTTTGTCCACTTTTAGCCGTGGTCCAACTGGATGTTTGTCTTTTGAAGAGTGGAGTGGCCACACAGGAGGAAAGAAGAAAACTGTCAGGGTGACCGGGCTCAGCTGCATAAAAACCTCGCACACCCTTTCCTGTTTGTTGCCATGGTGACCACAGACTAAGTTTTTCCTATGTGGACTGTGAGACACCTTTTCTGATGTTCACATACATACTAATGCACACACGGTCAGAGAGCCCTGAGTGAGACAGTCCATGCCAGAGTACACCAGCATTTAGGCTTAAACCACAGAGCTATACCTGTACATGGTTAGTCACTCACTCAGACGTCCTCTCTAACACACACACAACAGTCTGAGTTAATTCTTCAGTTTGCTTTTCTCATTTGTAAGACATGCTCTAGCCCATTCCCAGGCTTTGTACTTTATTTTACCCTCATACAGTAGTTTGAGAGTTCTCATCCATCTTTATCTCTTTTCATATTCCTTTTCACATTCTGCCCCACTTCTTCCCGTTCTCTTCTTTTTTTAGCTCCACTCAGAGTACTCCCAGACCTATAATCGGACCCCGCCCTCCTCCCTCTCCCTGTCATTACACCCGTTGGCTAAGCTGCCATTCCGTTCCTGTGGCAACCCTCTAATTAGCCAACCCCAACCACCCTG